GGAGGAAGGAAGGAAGGAAGGAAGGAAGGAAGGAAGGAAGGAAGGAAGGAAGGAAGGAAATGAAAGGAAAGCAGGAAGGAAGTGAAAGGAAAGCAGGAGGGAATCAGATCTAGGAAGGGTCTAGCTGGGTTTGAGCACTGGCCCAATCTAGCCACCCTTGGTTCACTGGTGTGTAGCTTGGGCCAGTCCTCCAGAGCAACTATTCCTGTTCCCATTTAAGAACGGCCATTTAACCATAGTGTGTCCTGGCATAGTGCTGAGAACAAAGGGACAGCATCCACGGAGGAAATAATACTCAATTTAGACACACGAGGTTGTGGTTTAGTTTCACAGCTACCATCACCTGTGGGAGCATCAGATGGCAAAGGCAATATAAGCAAAGGTCAGAGACTGCCATCCAACCCAAGGCTCCAGCAGGAAGAGAAGTCAGGCAGTCTCAGCCATGTTCTCACCCTGCTCGCCTCAAACATCACACCACGGATTATAATCTGAAAACAGTTCCCTGGAGAAAGACTGGCAGAACGGAGATGGGAAAGGATGGAGAGGACCAGAAGCTGGGTTTAGGCCTCGGAGTGCAAACAACAGCAACGTCCCTTGCCAAACCCTACAACTGCCAACCCCACTGAAGACCACTTGGCTGTCGCTGCCCAGTTTGAAGACCTGCTAACTGCCTGTTCCCGATTCAGGTCCTCGGACAGTCGACTATTCAAGGACAGTGATTTGCATTTTTACTTCTTCCTTGTTTATTTTGATCATGTGCTAGAGGCAGAACACAAGGCCTTACTCCTAACAGGCAAGTGCTCCACAGCTGCACTCCATCCCACAGCTGCACTCCACCCCACCTGTCCACAGCTGCACTCCACCCCACCTGTCCACAGCTGCACTCCATCCCCCACCTGTCCACAGCTGCACTCCACCCCACCTCTCCACACCTGCACTCCACCCCACCTGTCCACAGCTGCACTCCACCCCACCTGTCCACAGCTGCACTCCACCCCACCTGTCCACAGCTGCACTCCACCCCACCTGTCCCACACCTGCACTCCACCCCACCTGTCCCACAGCTGCACTCCATCCCCACCTCTCCACAGCTGCACTCCACCCCACCTGTCCCACACCTGCACTCCACCCCACCTGTCCCACA